AAGTCAGTTCATGTAGTACTATCAGGATACTGGATATTTTAGCATAAAGTGTCGTCGAAGTAAAAACACATATAAGATGCTGTTGACCTTAACTGGACTGGAATCAGTTCTTCAATGTCAATGTTCATTTTCTTGTTTGTAAAGATTGTCTGAAATATTAAACATCAGAATTATAATATTTAAGAAAATAAATAGTTGGAAAATGATGTGAGCTTGTACCTTTTGATGATCTTATGGTTTTAAAAATGTGATCTATATGTATTTTCTTGATAAAGAAAAGAAAAATACAAAGAGGCACAGAGGGGCCACACCGTCCATTTATACAATATTTAGTCCCCTTTGCCAAAGGATACTCCAGGCTAAATTGATTAAAATCCCTCCAATAATACAGAAAATGAGAATTTTAAAGATTAAAACCTCAAATTCACCTTTTGAGCCCCGCCCCTCTGCACCAAGAGGGGCCACACCCTCCATTTATACAAAATTTAGTCCCCTTTGCCAAAATAAACTCCAGGCCAAATTTGGATAAAACCCTTCCAATAGTACAGAAAGAGAAGGATCTTAAAGATTTAAACCTCAAATTCCCCTTTTGAGCCCCGACCCTCTGCACCCAAAGGGGTCACATGCACCGTTTATACAAAATTGAGTCATCTTTGCCCAAGGATGTTCAAGACCAAATTAGGATAAAATCTCTTTATTCCTATGGCAGAGGAAGAATTTCAAAGGTTTTATCTCTATATCCCCTATTGGACCCCCCTCCCCCTCCCTGCCCCAAGAGAGTCCAAACTCACCGTTTATACAAAATTGAGTCCCTTTGACCCAAGGATGCTCGAGACCAATTTTGGATTATATTCCTTCATCTCTTTGGTTATAGAAGGATTTTAAAGGCTTTACCTATATTTCCCCTATTTGGAGCCACCCCTCATCCCCCCAAGGTGGCCAAACACACAATTTATGCAAAATTGAGCCCCCTTGGCCCAAGGATGCTCCAGACTGAATAAGGATAAATTCCTTTATCCCTATGGTAGAAGAAGGATTTCAAAGCTTTTACCTTTATTTCCCCTATTTGGCTCCGCCCCTCTGTCCCCAGGGAGTCACACCCACTGTGTTTACAAAATTGAGTCCCCTTTGCCCAAAGATGCTCCAGACCAAATTTTGATGAAATCTCTTAATCCATTAGGAAGAAAAAGGAATTTAAAGGTTTACCTCTATTTCCCTTCTTCGTCTTTAGCCATCTGCCTCCTGCGGGGCCACACCCACCGTTTATACAAAATTTAGTCCTCTTAGCCCAAGGATGCTCTAGACTAAATTTGGATAAAATCCTTTATTGCCTACGGTAGAAGTAGGATTTTAAAGGTTTTATCTCTATTTCCACTATTGGGCCCCGCCCCTCTGCCCCCAGGAAGGCCACACCCACCGTTAATACAAAATTGAATGCCCTTGGCGTAAGGGTGCTCCAGATCAAATTTAGTCAAAATCTACTCGGCCGTTCAGGATTGAAAGTGTTTTAAAGGAAAAGTTGACGGACGGACGACGGACGCCACGGTATAAGCTCACCGGTCCTTCGGACCAGGTGAGCAATAAACGGTATTTTTGACATGGTTTTTATTTCTAGTTTCAAACTGAGAACGTTTGAAATGTATGCTATAGGGGTACATTTAAAACGAAAAAGGATCTGGAATATTCGCAGAAAAGGTTCTGCTGACCGTTGATTTACAGAGGCCTCATTACCTCATTGCCTTTAAATTGGACACTCATTTTGATGCCGAACTTATATAATTCCTGTATGGCAAGTGATTAAGTTTAGACTTTGCACATTTCTTGTAATTTCCCTTTTCAAACATTCAACTTTCGACAACTACAGTTCTATCAAATGCATGGCAATATGTGATTTTATGGAACATTCTTTTGAAAACGACTTAAACGAATCTTTTACAGTAGTGACAATGGTATTAATATAGTTTAAAAAGTAAGTACCCTTTACCTTTAATTCATCATAAATTATAAACAGGTGTCACCTAACTATTTTCTAAGTAATGTGTAGTTTATTTTGATCTGTTTTCATTTTGTTGCGACATAAAAAATGTTATTTTGATGGAAACGTTAAAGTAAACAAAAGACAAAAATAGAAGTTCAATACTTTACTGCAATATTGAAAATACAATTAGTGATTATACGAAATTACATTACCAATACAAAGCAATATCATAATGATTTAAACAGTATTATTCCCCAATTGAAATTTTCTGTATCAGTTACACAAGGAGGTGTACAATTGACACAGAAAAAATGCAATCATAATTTAACCAAAATACATTCAAAAAATCTAAACACTCGTCTGTTCAAAAAAATAACACGAAATTTAATCAGTGCTCCTAAAATTAACATGATGTAAGCATTACAATACTACAAAAGGCCCTGGTGCCTTATGGCTCACCTCGAATTTATATTTAGATTTGAAAGCTGTTGAACATTGAACATATTTATCAGGGGTGGGGTGATCACATCGAGACTTAATTCCTGTAACACTGAAACTAGGTCCAGGTCATTTATATTTAGCGAACAATTTTGGGTCAATCCCAGAAAACTTGAAACAAAGTACCATGACTCTAAGTCTTTCGGTTCTTCAGAAGATGTTTGAAGTTTTGACATATTTGACCTCTGTTACATTGAAAGTAGGTCTTGGTCATCTTTTTTCGCAAACTTTGTCGGGCTTGATCAAAGGGGGCTAACGGTCAAATATAATGATTCAAGCCTTTCTATTCTTCATTTGAAGTTTTTGACATATTTGACCTCTGACATTTAAACTAGGTCAGGTAAATATTTTTCGAAAATTTATCGAGCTTCATCCCAGTTAGCCACCAGCCAACTATGACTGCTTTCGGTTCTTCAGAAGAAGCAGTTGGTACTGAATCGTTAACATATATGACTCCAGTAATCTTGCAAGTAGGTCAGGCTCATTTCATCCATACTTTGTGGGGTTCATTTGAGGTAGCTACTGACAAATATCGATCATGACTCTAGGCCTTTCGGTTCTACAGAAGAAAGCCTTTTTAAGCAAAAGTTTGCGACGGATGACAGACACAGCTCCACGGCTTAAGCTTATTACATAACATTGGGCTAAAGTATTCTGAAGTAATTGATAACAACAATTTTATACTATGTTAATATGGCATTGTCAGTACTCTAAACATTTTTATGTCCCTGCTATGGTTATTTATTTCTCGGGGACAACGATGACCAATATCCATACAAACAATTCAATTTTGACATTAATAATAAATATTATTTGTCAGCTTTCAAATTATGATAGTAGCCATTAGATAATTTATTGGCTGTTATAAACATTATACATAACCTGTAGTCGGATAACTGATGCCAGGTAAATGATTGAAAATGTATGCATCCATTTCACGCTCAACCTGAGCCTAAGAGAAATTCTTCCTAGCCGAGGTGGTAGGAAGCAGCTAATATTTTACCAGGGTGACATATATAACAGAGCCTGTAAGAAATGACTTTTTCCCTTTCTATTATAGTTCTATGCACAGTCTTCAACACATTCTGACAAAGTTGTTAACACTCGTTCGAACGATTTGGCAAATCGAGTAGTCTTTGTTTTATCTCGACTACCTTTCTATTCATATCAGTATCATAGTGTACTGCCGCCCACAACATATTACAAGGTGTCTGTTACAAGTGTTTGATATACTGCCCAGTTCCGCTTATCATGTAAACTGTTAGTGTTCTGCTCTCACCAATAACGATGTTTCCGAACAAGTCTTACGCTATCGACACAACTGAATTCAAACGAGCTCCTGACAAATTGAAGTAAACAGAATATTCAGAGTTCTATCAAACACGGCTATGTCGGACATAAACGGTTTCATCACATGAACTCAGACAACCGCTAAATTACCTGTAATAGGAAACTCAATAATTTGCCCATGGAGCCGTGTGCAAGGAAACATCGTCAGCTTCATGACGAACTCTTCCTTCCTATGTAAATATTTAAAAAAATAACCACGAAAATAACCACGATCTTAGCACCAATTTGCCATTCTTGGTAAAATGTAAGCAAAATGTCCCCACATCGAACCACGCATATGGCAAAAGTGATGGCGGAACGAACTCGTAGATGATCATGTCGTTTTCGTGGTACCGTTATGTAAAAGCTGCGTGGTGTTTGAGTTTTCGTCAAGAAACCATACACCTCCATCAGGCGACGGAACCAATGTCGACATTGTGAAGGCACGGTAGTCTAGTGGTAGGACGCCGGGCTCGTGACCGAAGGGTTGCGAGTTCGAATCACGTCACGGGACTGTGTTGTATCTTTGAGCAAAATACTTTACTCCGCTTGTTCCAGTCTACTTAGCTGTAAACGAGTACGTGGTTGGTTAGTGCTAGAATTGTAGAATGCTAGCTGTGAGCGCCGAAATGGCAGCACTGGCTGTATGCTCCCAGGGAGTTGAGAAAGATATTGGCTGGTTGCAAAGCCCTATAACCACGGATGATAATTTGTGAACCGCTTTGAGACGACCTACGAACTAGTTTGTGATAAAGCGGTATATAAGAACCTCGAATAATAAAACAAGAGACCCAAAAGGAATCTTGGCGCACACCATCGTACCATCTGCATAGGATCTATGCACGATTAATCTCTCCGGCTCTTATTTTCTCTCTCTTATCTTTTAGATCGAGCCCTGTCAACAGGTAATGCACCTTATGGTAAAGTTTCACCAGAACTTCATACTGCTTAGTATGATGTTGTGCTTTCGAAGTGAGGTTAGTGTTTGACCTATTAATAACTAGCACAGTATTTAAGCTCTAACAAGAAGAAACTAGGTTTGAAATTTGAGAAAGATCTGTCAAGTACTTCTTTGGAAATAATGATAACAAACTAGAACTGCCGAAATTAAATATGACTACCTGGCGATCATTTGCTTTTCTGATCTGCCTTAAAATGAAACATATACAATTTAAGACATATATGAAAATCAGCATATAAAATGTAATAGAGATCTGTCCAGTACATCTTAAGAAACAGTGATACAAAATTGGAAAAAATTCAAGATGGTAGTCTGGTCTCAAAATGAAACAAGCATAATGATGGACCACTGGGAACCTACATGTGAAATTTGAGAAAGGTCCATGTAGTTTTTTTCTGAGAAATGTTGCTTAAAATCTCTAGTTCTCAAAATTCAAGATGGCCGCCTGCCAGGAATCTTGGTTTTCTGATTAGTCCAAAACTAAATTGTTTAGTAACGGTGGTAATGGTGGTAGTGCGTATAGGAGGGCGGTGGCTCTCTCAAAAAAAAGCACTAGGAACAACCCAGCCACTAGTAGTAGGACTAGCACTGTTAGAAAGTATTTCCATTTCCACCATGATTTTTTAACCCGTAAATTGTCGGTTGCACTGTTGTCTATTGTTCCTATTTTGGCGGTTGCACAGTTGTCTATTGTTCCTATAACTTGCTTTATGTGCTGTGAAATGTCGGTTTCTGGTTTATAACTATTGGTTGTACTTAGAAGGGGCATACTGGGGGGTTCAGTTTTTAAACCTTCTACAACCTTAGCTTTATCATAAACAAGGACAGAGGTCCTAGATTGGAGCAGTTGTTTACATTCTTTCGTTTTCAGAACCAAATCTTCATACCTTTTTTGTATTTCATTCTCGTACGCCTGAAGTAATCCAATGTTTTCACTTTTCTTTTCTTCACAGCTAGACTTAAGTTGGCTTATGTAACGGTCAATATATGTTTTACACATTTCTCCGTGCTGTTGTATTTGTCCGGGCAAAACTGTGTCTAAATCGTGTTCAGTTTCTGCCATTTTCTCCTTAATTGACTTTAAATCTTTTTGCAGTTCAGAAAATCTATTTTGTTCTGTGTCATTGACGAAATCAAGAAGCTTGCCTCTTTGCCGTGAGACGACATCTGTGATATCCTCCAGTGTGTGATTTCTGTGACTAGACCCACAACACGTTGTACAGATGAGCTCATTACAATCACTACACACCAAAACGACTCTTTTGTCCCTGTGAGTTGGACATATTTCACTTCCTTCAGCCCGAATAGACGTTTGACCCGCAGCAGGGCGATGATGTTGGTTGGTTGTTTGGTTGACTGGTTGATCGCCTTCATTTCTCCACACGTGCGGGTTTTGTCTCACTGGCGAAGGTCGGTGTTCTGTCGGCGTTTGGCGATGATGTAAACCGGTAGCCATGTTGTAGTAACAATAAATCCCAACCGAAAATTGATCAGAATATCACAGGGTTGATTATTTGTGCGTTGCGTCTGTATATAGTGTCTGTGACGTCAGCTAGGTACATGTTGAACAGGTATTTTAATATGTTGTGTACCTGTCACATGGGTGTAGAATGCAAGATGATTGGTTGAAAGATTGGTATATCACGGCAGTAGGTTGCTATCTAAGTCCGTGGCTCTGCCAACACGCGGGTTCTTAGTTATCAGCTGTCTTCAGATTTCAAACCAAGGTCTATATGACTGCACATTAACCTAGATATACAGAGAAGATATTTCACAATAGAAAACAAATTATTTGAATCAGAATAGGGATACAGATAACTCCTGTCTATTTTCAGGTTTGTGAAGTAAATGTAAAATGGTGGTTACGTACATACACTGTCACAAATATCCATTTATAATAGTGAACCTGATATTTGCGATAACATAAACACCTATACCCCACAAATTTCAAAAGTACGGGGATCTCCTATTGTCTTTAATGGTTGGTCAGATAACTAACATCTAATGGTTTGAAAGCTTTTAGGAATTGGCAGATTTCTGTTTCAATTCTAACAGCATGAGTTTGTTTAACAAATACAAAATTATTAACCATTCCTAACATTTTCTTACCAGTCGTGTGATCCACAAAAGCATTGCGGCAGCGACGGCCCGTTACAGGAAGAGTAACACCCTAAACAAGCTTTCCAAGCAGTATTGCCTGTTCTTCAACAGGTTTGTCAAGTGCAAGAGGGGAGACAGGTGTCCCTACATCAATGACCCAGACAGTGTGTCCGAGGTTAGTTGGATTTGTAATTTTAAAACAAACAAAAAGCTTGATTAAATTTGAAATGTGTCTATCTCTCACAGGCTTGTCACAACAGTAACTTTTACATTTATTTGGCAAAAATTTAAATATTCAGCCATATTTGTTAGCCATGGCCATATCTGATAAAAGTTCCTTGGTTATTCTGATATGTCTATATATTTCAGCTAGTTTTGCTTGCTGATTCAAGGTTTATGTTGATTTGTTGCCAGGTTTCTGCGAGGAACATGTCAGATGACTGGCTGTCCATTCTCACACAAAGTCGTCAAGGAGAAGATGCCCGTCTGCTCCTATTTCTTGCATGGCGTTTGTAACCGAGACAACTGTCCCTACCTCATGTCAAGGTCAACAAAAATGCATCTATTTGTCAAAACTTTGTGAAGGGGTTCTGTCCCCTAGGAGAAAAAGTAAGAACTGTTTTATTTGCACATCATAGTAATACTATAGACAATTTCATCTGTATGGTACGATGGCCGACAAGAGCATTGCAAAAAGATATGAATTTTCATATCTCTGTGTACCATATAAAATCGTGGTACAAAAGTATATGAAAATTCATATCTTTTTGTCAGGCTCTTGTCGGCCATCGTAGTATGGTGAGTATTACACAGAGACACTAGTATCATATTTCATACATAGAGACAGTAGTATCTGTATTTAGTACATTGAGACTAACATAATCTATTACACTGTGTGAAGAAAACAAAGAAATCTAAACCTGAGGGTGAAATTTCTGTCAAGTATGAGATAATCTTAATATGTTTTCTAATATCTGTTATACTGATAGAGTGTTATATATGTGTGTAACTATACCGAAACAATACTATCTGCATTTTGTACATTGTGAATTTTTATGTAAATTTAGTACATAGAGACAGTGCTTTTATGTCGAGTATATTCAGACGGTGTCACATATGTAATTAGTACATGGACCTTTCTGTCAGTGTAAGTAGTGACATATCCCGAGTCTTTAGTGTTAACTTTTCTAGGTACTCTGCGACAATTTCATCTGTGTTTCAGTGTAAGAAGCAGCACACTCCACAAGTGACTGTAATGATTCCTCAAGCAATGTATTCCATTAAAGATCAGTGAGAAAACATTTCTTTTACCCTAAACTAAGATAAGACAGATAAATGGCACAAAGTCTTTCAAAGTTGTCACGTGTGAGAAAACATTTATTTCATCCTAGACTAGGATGAGACAGATAAATATCACAAGGTTTTTCACAGGTGTGAGAAAACATTTATGTCTACCTAGGCAAGGATGGGACAGATACATATCACAAAGTTTGTCACAGGTTTGAGAAAACATTTATGTCAACCTAGGCTAGGATGAGACAGATAAATAACACAAAGTCTTTCACAGTTGTTACGTGTGAGAAAACATTTCTTTTATTCTAGACTAGGATGAGACAGATAAATATCACAAAGTTTGTCACAGGTGTGAGAAAACATTTCTTTTATCCTAGACTAGGATGAGACAGATACATATCACAAAGTCCGTCACAGGTGTGAAAAAATATTTATGTCAACCTAGGCTAGGATGAGACAGATAAATAACACAAAGTCTTTCACAGTTGTTACGTGTGAGAAAACATTTATTTTATTCTAGACCAGGATGTGACAGATACATATCACATAGGTTGTCACAGGTGTGAGAAAACATTTCTTTTATCCTAGACTAGGATGAGACAGATAAATATCACAAAGTCTGTCACAGGTGTGAAAAAATATTACAGCACCCGCTCGTCTCACCTAAGGCTAGGATAAGACAGAGAAATGTCACATGATCCGTAACAGGTGAGAAAACTCCATCTATTACAGTCATACATCTGTATGCCGTCCATCCCTGTTGGACATTATAGTAGAATTTCGTGATGAATGTTGCTTAACTTTATAAATTAATGACTGATATTTGTAACACGTTTCAGCCATTCGCATCAAGCCTAAGTTATAAAGCAGCAGTGAAAAGGTAAATATGTTGGTTATTTATTTTATGGATGGTAATATCATGATAATTAAATGTGTAAATGTAATATTAATGTGGCAATGTAATATTAATGTGGCAATGTAATATAAATGTGACAATGTAATATAAATGTGACAATGTAATATTAATATGACAATGTAATATTAATGTGACAATGTAATACTAATGTGACAATGTAATATTGATGTGGCAAAGTGATATTAATGTGACAATGTAGTATTAATGTGACAATGTAATATTAATGTGACAATGTAATATTAATGTGACAATGTAATATTGATGTGGCAATGTAGTTTTATACGACAATGTAATATTAATATGACAATGTAATATTAATATGACAATGTAATATTAATGTGACAATGTAGTATTAATGTGACAATGTAATATTAATGTGACAATGTAATATTAATGTGACAATGTCATATTAATATGACAATGTAATATTGATGTGGCAATGTAATATTAATGTGACAATGTAATATGAATGTGACAATGTAATATTAATGTGACAATGTAATATTGTTTCGACAATGTAGTATTAATATGACAATTTAATATTAATGTGACAATGTAATATTGATGTGACAATGTAGTATTAATATGACAATGTAATATTAATGTGACAATGTAATACTTTAAGAAAATATGGAAAGAAGTGATTTACAAAATAATGAAATTTTCAAAATTTATCTTCGATTCAATTCTTTACAAAATGCGAGCAAGTCAGAGTAATTTAAAATGCTATATTGTTAAGCTGGGTAAAGATATTTGCTATATTGTCAGTCATTAATGCTGGAACACTAGAACTAATTCCATATTGTATTATCCATTTTGTCTATTTCACACAGGTAGCAGGTATATCGGGGGACTAAATGTGCTGTACCATTAAGTTTGTCTTTCTTTCACAGGTAACAGGTTCACCAGGAATAGTGATGGTTAGTCTATCAATTTATTAATTATGTTTGATATTGCTATCACCTGTTGCCTGAGTGGAGTAAAGAATTTTCTTGTTTTTAAATTTATGTTTATTATGTCCTAATTATATGTTATTAACAATATTGAAATTCTTAACAACTTAATTTAACTGGTGAAATAGTTCAGTTAAAGTGCCATTGGAGTAAAAGATCTCAGATGTTTTTGACATTTGCTGGCCTGAAATCAGACTAGATAGTTCTACAATGATATTTTTGATGAAAAATGTCTGAAATATGAAATATCATAATTATATATATTTTTTTTTTTTATTAAACATCGATGTGAGCTTGCACCTTTTTGATGATCTGAAGTTGTGCAATGGTTTTATGAGTGTGACCTATGTGTATTTTCTTAATAAAGAAATAAAATATAAAAGATAGTATTTTTGACTTTGTTTTGACTGCTAGTTTCTAATTTGAAGAACTTTTGCAAAGTGTCTAACAGGGAAACACGCTGAACCAAACATGTCTGGAATGTACATGGAAAATATTTGGTGACCCTTGACTTAAAGAAGCCCAATTCAGTGGTCTCAGTAAAAGAGAAAACATGAGACATTTCAGACTTTTCCAACTGTCAACTTAACATATGTGATGGATCAATTTCTCCGTGTTAATAACTATATAAATATCAGTACTATTTTGAGTGTCAGACACAGAAATTAAGAAATGCTTTTGTGAACTGTTAAACCGCCCTACTAACTGTTTTATGTATGCAAAATCTATTTCTGTAAACGTACGTTGTTTTGGCATTGATCAGATTTTAACAATATTCTTACTTTAGCACTTTTTGTGCTCAAATTATTATGCTAAATTATGAATGTGATATTTGAAGTTCTTTTATAGTTTTCTCTTTTGCATACTTTTGAGTACGCCAATTTCCCAGTGTGTTAATATGTTAAAATTCTATTAAAATTTTAGTGCGCTACAATAAGTTTGTTCAGTCTTTCACAGACTTGTCATATTTTCATACCGCAGAGTGACCATTTTAGCCTGATCAGTAAAAGAAGTAAGGGATATAAAAATCATTTTAGGGTTTATTAAGTTTATACATTAATTAGCTATGCAATAAAATCAGAATTGCCCAGTCCAAAAACATATACCCGGAAACTTGTTTTGATAATATTGCAGTGCCTGAAAACTTTAAGAGAAGAACGGTAAACTAGTGTAATAAGACTCGAATCCTTCACCTGCATCACTTATCATTAACACTGTGCCACAAGTACCTGGTCTTGAATTGATTCAGTATATATATCTAATTTTAATAGGTGATATTGGGAGGAGCTTCAGGA